TGCCGCCAAAATAGTTTGTTATCAATAAGTAAGACTATTTTTATCTATATCATAAATAAGTGAACTCAAATTTCTGTTTCAATGGAGACATTATTTTAAGTTTAACTTTACCGTAACTTTTGTCTGGGAAATTGAATTTTGGTTTCCGATTTTTTAAGAATATATTTAAAATTTTCAAGGTGCATTGAACTTGAACAATACAAATCAGCAACACATCAGTCCGCTCAACAACATGGTTACTCTTCAAAGTTCTCTTCCTTCAATTGGAAATAATACAAATAACAGTCAAGCATCTGACTTGAATAGAGTTTCTAATGTAGGCGGTAGTGGTTTGGGATCGGATTCACCTGGGGGTTTATCATCATATCAACAACAGTATGCAGGTTTATCTGGGCTCCTCAATCCAGGTTATTCCATTATTTTTTGTTATCAATGTTTTTATTTAAAGATCATTGCATTGTGTTAGGCAGATTAGAGGATTGGTAAAAGTTGCGAAATAAAGTATTTGTTCTTTTTTGTCATTTTTTTGCTAGATATAGCACTTGTTATTTGACACTACAGAGGATTAATTTTCTAAAATTTTTAGATTAAATGGGTTTAAGATGTGATTATGTTGCAAATATGCGGAATTTGTTTAATGAGTTAGACAGTGAATGTGTGTAAATATGTAAAATTTATGATTGAGTTAAAGATTTGTGGAGTATTGGGATTGAGTTGTAGATATACGGAATTTCATGAATGATTTAGGAACACAAATTTGTATTCATATGTTGGATGTCTTTAACGCGTGTATCGTGAATGTGTTGCAGATATACGAAATTTCCTTAATGAGTTAAACACATGAATGTGAATGAATATTTGGAATTTTTAAAAAATCGTTATTTTTTCAGCTAGCTTCTCAAATGCTTTAACAGCTCAACTGCAGCATAACACGAATTTGGCCGGTCAATATCAAAATAATGCTGGACAGACAATAAACCCAAATTCACCTGCAGGAAAACAAACTGAAGGTTTTCAATGCATTTTTAAAATTTATACATTCAATATTGAAGTTTGTTATTTTTTTGAAGAAATAGTATGTAACGTTTATCATCTTGATGCGTTCCACAAACCGTTTGTTCAAACAATGAACTACCGAAGGGTACATTCTAAGTCATTCCAGTGATCTCAGCTCAGTTTAGCCCTTTTTAAAATTTGTTTACACCTTTCATCCGATCCAAATCCAACATCTTTCCAAGCCACTCGAAGTGTATCCTAATGTATCATCTCTTTCTTTCATTCGGTTTTAAAGTTTTTTGACTAACTATATTTTTCTTATCTCAACAGTTATCCACTAGTATGCAAAACAATTTCATTACATTTTTCTATATTTTGTAATTTAGGTATGTAATTGTTAACTTTAAGTTTTTCTATGCCATGATTATGTGAGCTCAAAACATGATTGGCTTATTTATTTTAAACAAGCTGAAAGGAAGACATAATGTAAATTCTGTGGTTCCAGATGTCCCATATCTTGCATAAATCAAGACGGTTGTCTGTAATGGGAGTTCTTTGAACTTGCTGAAAACAAGATATTAATTATTATTATTATACGTATTAGGTGTTAATACATTTTATATAATTTTGAAGGTCCGGATGGCTCCAATTTGTTTATCTATCATTTGCCTCAAGAGTTTGGAGACCAAGAGCTCATGCAAATGTTTGTAGGATTTGGTAATGTCATTTCATCAAAAGTTTACATTGACAAACAAACCAATCTCAGCAAATGTTTCGGTGAGAAATATTTAATTATATTTCTCAACTTTTTTAATAGAGCAATAAAGTTATATTGATATTTTCAACTTAAATATACTTCTTAAACAAGTTATCGATTATAATTTTTTTATTTTCTTATAACTATATAATATTTTTTCTGGTGAAAATAGTTTTGGGTCAACATGTGAAAGAAGCGCCGTGTCCTGTCTTTGTTTTAGCATTCTAACCTAGCTAAACGCCTTCTGTTTGTAATTCTAAGGAATGTACGACTTAAGGACGTGATGCAATTATTTCCTGTTATAAAATTATCTACTGTTACTCTAAGGATAGGTGTCCTGGTTATGACATTAAACTGACCCTCACTGCCTTGTGAGTGATGTTGGATCATCAAAGGCTAGGCCCACCGCTTATAACTGTGGTTGCGTAAGGAAGGGCGTCCTGTGTAAAAACTAGCCAAATAATAAATGCTTATGATGATGACGGAGAAAACAATGGCCCTCAGTATCCGGCAGAAGAGGGTGCGAAGAATCTCCGGAGACCCAGTCGATGGGGTTGTGGTGCAAGGCCCTGTGGATGGTCTGGCTACTGGCACCCCACTCTATAGTGTGGCGGTGCAAGGCACTATAGATGGAGGGACTACTTGTAGACCAAGGGGTTGGAGGTTTGGTACCTGGAATGTAGGCACGTTGACAGGAAGAAGTTTGGAAGTGGTGGAGGAGCTGCAGAGGAGAATGGTTGACGTGGCTGCATTACAGGAGGTCAGATGGAAGGGTGAGGGTACAAGGTTTGTGGGGGCTAAAGGTGGAAGATATAAGTTGTGGTGGAAGGGGGATGATGGTACGGGAGGAGTTGGTGTGATGGTAAGAGAAGAGTTGTTGGAGCAGGTGTTGGAAGTGAGGCGGAGAAGCAATGGGGTAATTGTGGTGGTGATGGTGTTTGGAAAAGTAATAGTGAGGGTGATATCAGGATATGCTCCGCAACAAAGTAGGAAGGAAGAGGAGAAGGATAGGTTTTATGATGATGTTTCTGACGA